ATAAAAATATCTACGGAGAGAATCTCAAGGAGAATGGAATGAGAAAATGGCTGCGGGCAGCTCCCCCATGGCCAGCACACAGAAGGTGGTCTTCCCTGGTCTTCCCTGTTAACTGCCTTTTCTATTAAGCTTGGACCACAATGTTGAATTCAAAGACCGGACAGAACCTGCATGTGCTGGCCTTAACTTTGGGAGGCCTAGAGTTTTGAAGTTTGCTACTTCCCAGCAATGAGGTTTGTGGGGAAGGGACCAAGTGCAAAGGGTTTTCCCCATTTTGCAGATTAATATAGGAACTAACCTTTCCTTTTCTTACTAGTGGGGTTGTTGAAGAGACACAAGAAATGTCAGAGCACTTTGCAGATGGCACAGACCTTGGTAAGGTCAAAGAGTCATTGATATCTGTTCAGCCCCTTGATGGCACAGATGAGATGTCTGAGGCTCAGAGAGGCTGGGCCTTCACTGGGGTCACAGCCCATGAGCAGCAAGACCAGGACTTGACCCAGGCCCATCAGATTCTGAAGCCTGTGATGAACTGCACCCCTCGTGCCTCATTGGCGCTGGCTCACAAGGGCTCCAGGCCATGTTGGAGAGTCCCTATCATATTGCTGGGATCCTCCAAGGCCAGAGTCCTCCAGGAAGGCCACCTAAGCAGATGAAGTCACCATTCTTATTATTTTTTTTTTTTTTGAGATGGAGTCTCGCTCTGTCTCCCAGGCTGGAGTGCAGTGGCGTGGTCTTAGCTCATTGCAACCTCTGCCTCCCAGGTTCAAGCGATTCTCCTGACAGCCTCCCAGGTAGCTGCGATTACAGGTATGTACCACCACACCAGGCTAATTTTTGTATTTTCACTAGAGATGGGGTTTAGCATGTTGGCCAGGCTGGTCTCGAACTCCTGATCTCAGGTGATCTTCCCGCCTCAGCCTCCCCAAGTACTGGGATTATAGGCGTGAGCCACCGCGCCCGGCCTTTAAATATCTTCTGACTGTTTACCCTGCTGTGGCCTTAGTCAGGGCACCCTCCATCCACAGCCAGCTGGGACTGGGTTTGCTGTCGTTGTGTGGTCTGAGGAGGGGTAAGGAGGATGCATTGAGGTCATGTTAATTTGTATAATCTTGCACCTGAAACATCTGGGTTTGCCAACAGATGGTGTCTACAGAGAGAATGGCAATTCCTTGCCCAACATTTCATGTACATGGCCAGGGGCTATTTTGATTCAGCCTAGGGCTCTGGAGCCAGACTGTCTGTATGGAACCCCGGCTCTGCCACCTGTTGGCTGTGTGCCCTCAATCCAGTCTGGGCCTGTACTTCCTAACCTGTGAAATGTGGGGGAATAAACATAACCAGCTCAGAGGATGGATATACAGACTAAATGGTATAGAGTGAACACCCAATAAAAGGGAGCTCTCATGACCATCTCTGCCACACCTGCCACTGCCCATTGGGTGCACTGGAGAGAAACCTCAAGGCCACCGACTTGTGCAAAGCAATCCTTCCTGCACATCTGAAAGCTCATGCCACCGGGGTGTGAGCTCCCTGAGAGCAGGGGCCTTGCTCCCAGCAGTATCCCCTGTACCTGACCCCAGGGAGATGCTCAATAAGTATCTGCCAAACCACTGGATGAAAGCACAGCTAGCAGAAAGAGCCTGGGAACTAGGAGATGGGAGATTAGAGTTCAGGTTCTTCGTATTGTAAGACCTTGAGAATACCAATGATATTTCTTTTAGGGAAATGTGATAAGTAAGGACTAAAGCACTGGCTCTCAACTGGGGGTGACTGTGCCTGCCAGAGGACATTTGGCAATACCTGGAGACATTTTTGGTTGTCACTCTGTGAAGGTGTTACTGGTATCTAGTGGGTAGAGGGCAGTGATTCTACAGATATCCTGCAATGCACAGGACGGCCCTCACAACCAAGAACTGATGTCAACAGTCAATGCCAAGGTTAAGAAACCCTAGATTAAAGGAACATGATCGAAAACCATAAAGTCACATACAAATGATCATTGTTATTGGTATTAATAGTATTCTTTGGTGTAACAAATGCAATATTAGAGTTTTTAAATGTGATATTTTCAAGGACTCCAAGGGTAGTTTTATATGATTTTAAATCTGTTTTTGTTTCTTCAAGAGATAGCAAAGATAGAAAATGCCCCTTAAATTCTTTCCTCACCAGGAGCTTCTTATTCTGTAAAATGTTGTCAAATGCTATTGAAAAGACCTCTTGGAAAAATCAGCCCTGCTCAGATCTTTGGCCAAGAATAGGAGGACGGGCCCCCCGGTGCATTTTTCAACCCACTGGAAGTCTCAGCTGCCAAGGCCTTCGAAGCCCTGACCAGCCCTGGAAGCAGACGCTCCACCTGGCTCAGTGGCCTTTTGCCAGCTGAGACCATTAGCCAATAATAAGCTGCATTTCCAGAAAATTTGGCAGTGCTAATTTTAATTTTGTTCTCTGTTTAAAAACAAGGGTCCAGAGAGGTTAGCCCCAGGGCACGTCCTCCTGTCCCCACGGTGGCCCCTGTGTGTCTGCTTCACGGCACACACACCGCACTGTTTGGTAATCCTCCCCGCTGCAGGCTATGCACATTCTGAGCACACGGGTCCTGAAGACTCATTTCTGTGTGAGGCCCACTCCAGGATTATGGCTTAGCTGTCAAATGCCTGACTGAATTTGTCCTGCAGGGCTGACACAGTGGATGCCCTGCCCATGTCCTCTCAGCTCCCACTTGCTGCTTCATGCAGATGATGGTGTCTACCACAGTGGGAGTTGCAGGAACCGTCCCTCTGCCCGAGAGCTTTCTCTAGCTGGGGAGGCATACTTGGCCTATGCAAGATGAAGTCAGCTGTGCAGGGAAGGTAAGGCCCTAGGAGCATCCTGCAGCCAGCAGACTTTTGCTGAAACCATGAATAGCGGGAATGTATCTTTAAGATAAATTCAGTGTAGGAGTTGCAGATGAATACCTGAGGGCAAAGGAGCCAGAGCTGGGAGGGTTCGCAGTTTTAGACAGGGTCCTTGTGACTCAACTCAGAACCCCCAGAGGATGCACCACTTAGACACCCTTGTCTCCTGCAGAAGATTCCAAACTGTTAAGCATCAGAATGGCTTGCAGGATATATTAAAATGCAGATCCCCATGCTTATTCTCTCAGCTTCTGGTTGGGAAGGAATGGATTAGGGAGCTGTATTGGCTGTATTAGTGTCTCAGGGTGGCCATAACTAAGTACTAGCAACTGGGTGGCTTTAAACGACAGAAATGTATTCCCCAGAGTTCTAGAGGCTGAAATCCAGGTGTGGGCAGGGCTGGCTCCTTCTGAGGGCTCTGAGGGAGAATCCGCTCCAGTCCTTCCTCCCAGCTCTGGACCGCTGCCAATGCTGGGCGCTCATTGGCTCGTAGCTGCATCACTGCAATCTCCCCATGGCCTTCTCCCCATGCCTGCATCTCTTCTCTTGTCAGGACAGACACCAGTCATGTTGGAATAGGTGCCCACCCTACTCCAGTCTGACCTCATCTCCTTACATTTGCACCCACCCTATTTCCAAATAAGGTCACATTCTGAAGTAGTGGGGCTTAGGGCTTCGATACGTCTTTTGAGGGACACCATGCAACCTGCAGCAAGTGCAGCATCTCTAGATGCTAACAGGCCCTCAGGCAATTCCGATTGCCCCCCTGGGACAGTGGCCCTCCTGTATGATGTGTGATTTATCTTTGCAGCCCCCACCATGCAAGGAGCCGGCAACCCCCTGCACATTCTGCAAGAGCAGTCGGTGTCAGACTGATGGGCGGGTGCAGCATCTCTAGATGCTATCAGGCCCCCAGGCAATTCTGATTGCCCCCTGTACTGTGGCACTCCTGCATGATGTGTGATTTATCTCTGCAGCCTCCACTATGCAGGGAGCCTGCACATCCTGCAGGAGCAGTCAGCGTCAGGCTGATGGCCAGGTCTGCGGAGATTGAAAGGAAGCAGAACTGCTGGGCACCAGGGACGTGGGCCAGGCGGAGCATGATGACAAGCCCAGCTTGGTGCTTGGCTCCCCCTAACCAGCCCTCGATTCACCACACTGCTCAAGTGGGGAAGAAGGTGCTCGATTTAATTTTCCAGCTACTCAAGTGCCAGCACAGCAAGTGCCTCTAACATGGGATTCCAGACAGAAGTGGAGGATAAACAGGTCTCACTTTTTTTTGTTTGTTTGTTTAAAGGAAAAATGCTTGGTTTGGGGCAATCATGCATCATGAATCAGCTTCTCATAGGCATTTTTTACTGCTGAGAAACTGCAGCACGGAGGGCTGTGGGTAGATGGCGCATGGCTCTCTTCCCACGAGACGAGGTGGAGATGGAGTCAGCTGATGCTCATATAGCATCTTGGGGACATGGCCAAGCCCTCTCACCTGGATATCTTTATATGGCAGTAAGCCTGTATGCCTGCTGTGACAGGAAGCCTATCAGCCATCAGGGCCATGGAGAAAGCACGTAGGTGAGCAAAGACAGGATGAAGAAGCAGAAATTGCAGCTCAGACCCCAGCCGACAGCTTCCCCCATGGCCATGCTCTCCCTGGCTCCCCATTGTCAGGAACACATGACTTCTCCCCCCTCTTTCTTTTTTGCCAACTCCTGTAAACTATGCCAGCCTCACTCTCACTTCCAATTCCTGATGACACATCTCAATGGTGTCCGTAGGCCGACTGCATTTCCCTCATCAATTCACATTTCCATGTGAGAAAGAAAACATCGACTTGGTTGAAGCTCCTATACAGTGGGGTTTCTGCTAAAAGCAGCCAGACGCAACTCCTAAATGACACAGGGAAGGATGTCTCATTCTCATTTCCTTTTAAAAGGAAGAATCCAAACCGAAGCATGTTCTGGCACACAGCAAAAGGTGAAATGCGATTGCTGTCTGCTTGGGTTCTGCACAGCTTAGCTTTTCGCAGGCTCACATTTGCCAGCAGCTGCTCTCATTGGACTCCATGGCCCATACACAGAGAATGAAGGCTGCCTGAGCCCAGGATCACTGATGCTCTTTGAGCAGAAGTTCCTCGGTCCACGTTTGTAAGTCAGGGGGAAGGGCCACGAGCCTCAGAGCGGGCAGGACTGCAGGGAAATTGGGATAAGCTCCAAAACCACTCACGACGTCAGCCCCCACCTTCCCCAAGTCTGATGGGCTGTGGCTGCACAGGCCCTTCCTGTGCTGTTGGCTGGAGCCAGGAGACCCCAGCATGTGGTCCCCTAGCAAGTGAGGCTTGCTGCCCAAGCCTGGTGTCTGTGGCTGTGCTGATCTGGGCACCTACTGGCCTTCAGAGCTGTAGCCACCCAGGGTCAGTGAAAGGCTGCTGCCTCCTTTGTCTCCCCAGTGTCGACTGGGACTGGGGCCCTGTCCTGCCCACTGGCCCATGGCTGGAATCCAAACACCCATCCCTGCCCCAGCCCTCACCTCTCCCAACTCTCTAGGCTCTGGTAATCCAAGCCTCCTAACCAACTGCAGGGCCCTGCGTCGGCCATGCCATCTTCCTACCCTGTGCACTGTTCCCACTCCTGGAATGCCACGTCTTCCCCTACATGTCCCTTAGGACTCAGCTCAGCACCTCAACTAGAGAACTTCCCCAACCATCCAGGCTAAGCCAGGTGTCTGCTGTGATATGCACTGCCCTGGGCTGCCCTTGGCCTTACAACGTATCCCCTGTGCTGCCAGCATCTGCTGAAAGCCAAAACGGTTGAATACTGGGGATTGCATAAGGGCCAGCAGTCAATGAATTTTTGAGTCAATGAATATTTGAATCTCCTGGAGAGCAGGAAGCATCTCTGATCTGCCTCTACTAACCCAAAGCCTGGCTTAGTGTGGGTCAAATGGGGCCCATCGGCTACCTCTGCTGGAGCCCCAGCTCTGACAAGTCAGCCACAGCCACAAATCCCCTAGATATTATCATTGGCTGGAACCCAACCTGGGTGTCTGCCTGCTTTGCGACCAGCCCCTTAGAGGGCAGTCCCACGGCCAGGGCACACCCCATCTAGTCCCTCCCAGACTCCCTGTGTCTCTTTTGCCATCCGAGGCTGCTAAGGTTCCAGCATCCCCCACCCACCTTACCCAAGTAAATATTAATAACAAGTCATTACCTTCCCGTGTTGACAACCCCTTCCATACCAGGTGCTGTGGGACAACAGCCTCATTTAATTCTCACAGCCCCGCGTGTTAAGGAGTGGAGATACTGTACTGATGCTGACGAGGAGGCTCAGGCAGGGTAAGGTCACCCTGCAGTGGCAGAGCCAGGACTTGGCCCCAGGCAACTTGACTCCAGGCTCTTGCTCATCATCACAGTGAGCCTGCCTTGCCGCCTGTGTTCCCGTGTGCCCGCTCAGGGCTGCTGCAGCCTCCCCACTCTCATGGGAGCTCCCAGAGACTGGCTCAGGCCACACAGCGAGGCAGGGTTAGAACACGGCCCTGTCTAATTCAAAACCCAGGAGCTTCATCCCCACCAGGGCCCTGTGACTCACTCCAGTAATACCTTCCCTTTCATCGTCAAGGCTGGTTTGGGGGATAGGGACTGTGATTCTGCCAGGGACACCCTGGGTCACTTAGGATGGGCTTTGCCCAAAGGGTACAGCGTGAAGAACTTACTTCTCTCTGTTGAATATGATGAATTCCTTCCGGACAGTCTCCAAACACTGCTGCAGGTGTCCATTCTGTCAAAGAGCACAGAGAGGTGACTAAATGACAAAGCATGTTCCAGGGAGACACGGTGACGGAGCATCAGAGGACAGCAGATTGATCTAGATGGAAACCTCAGATGCTTGGGACTGGCACGAGACAAGCTAAGTGTCTGGGGCTGGCCCTGACTGCGTGGGCGGCTGTGTCCAAGGGTAGCCTGGTGGACAAAGATGCTTTTCTCCACGTTAGGCCATTAAATCCAACGTAAAAGCCACGTTAGAATGGAATATGGGCTGAAATTCATGAGCTTATTTCCCTGACCGCTTAAGGACCACGTGAGAGGCATGGAAAACCAGAAATTCACAACCATCATGCCAGGGGCTCAACTTTTAATAGACTTTTATAGAGGAGAGGTTGTTGTGTGTTGAATTGTGTCCTCTGAAATGTATCCTGAGTCCCAACCCCCAAGTACTTATAAATGTGACCTTATTTGGAAATAGAACCGTTACAGATGTAATCCAGTTAAGATGAAGTCACAGTGAATTAGGTAGGTCCTAAGCCCAGTGACTGGGGTCCTTATATGAAGGCCATATGAAGACACGTGAAGACACAGAATAAGGCCATGCGGTGATCGAGGGAGAGACTGGAGTCATGCAGCAGTGAGCTAGCGAAGGACAAGGAGGCTGGCCGCCACTCGAAGCCTGGGGAGCCAAGGACGACCCCTCCCCTATAGCCTTTGGAGAGAGCCGGGCTCTGTGGAGACCCTGAGTTTGGACTTCCGGCCTCCAGAACTGTGAGAGAATACATGTGGGTTGTTATAAGCCACCCAGCTTGTGGCAGCCCCAGGAAACGAATACAGAGGCCCACAGAGGCAAAGTACCCAGCACCCACAAAAGTCATTGTGCAGCCCTGGGGGTCTCTGCGGTACAACATGTTTCTCAAGGGTGCAGCGGGACCACTGGGTCCCTCCCTGTGCCTTAGAGCTACACAAGCTTCCTGCTGTAGGAATAGCACTCAAGGAATGCCAGGAGCATGAATGCCTTCCTTCACTCTTTCCCCCTACTTGTTTGATGGTAGCATTTTATTTATGGCAAAATAAGGTAATTGGAAGGGAGGAGTGAAACATCTGCTTTTTGCTAAACAGTGGCCTCGCTCAGTCATTACCCTAGAGCACAGGATTTCTCTCCCGTGAAGCACTCACCAGCGGGCAGCTGTCCTTCGTGCTATCCCTGGATCTGTTCTTTGCCAACCGCTTCTTCTTTTTGTGAAGTGGCTTGGATTCTAGAATCATCTCTTCAAGCTCAAATGTGGGATCACAATTCAACCTCCCTTTCTAAAGGGGAGTAGAAAAGAAAACATGGTCTGTCTGCATTCCACCCGTCACTGAATTTTCTTTTCATTCATTTAATCATTCATTCATTCATTCAACAAGTAATGATGAACTACCCCCGTGGGATACATGGGTGACCTTTGTTTCTGTTTTCTGATGATAAGAAGCAACACGTTCTCACTGTATACATCATTTATTTACACACATGGTCCCCCTGAGGCAACCCCACTCCTGTTAACATGTAGGTATTTCCTTAGGCCCCTTTCTATGCCTGTTTTTCATGCTAGGTTGAGTTCAGTTTTCGAATCTGATTTTTTCACTTATTATTTTATCCTATGCACATTGTCCTGTCATGACTATCTTTTTTAGAAAAATCATTCTAAATAAGAATACAATTTCAGCTCAAAATCTGCCCAACTTCCTGCCCTGGTTCCCTGCTCCCCCCGGGGAGCTAGAGTCAGCTGACCCTCAGGCCCGGCCCTGCTCCTGGCCAGGGGCTCCTCCCGCTGTGGTCAGGAGCAATTTAGGTCTCCCTGACTTCTGGGCCTTGGACCCGGATTCCTGGGAGCCACTTTCATTCCTGAGCTGTAGCCCAGATGACGGCCGCAGGTGCTGGTCCCTAAGGGCAATGCAGCCCAGTGGCTATGACAGCAGCTTTGGAGCTGCACAGGGAAAAATCCCAGTTCTGCTACTTCCTGACCTTGTAAGTTTCATGACTTCCTTGGGACTCAGTTCATTATCTGTAAAGTTTGGGTGACAATCATTCCCATATAGGGAATTAATAATATAATATCTATAAAGTACTTCAAGTAGGGCCAGGCATGAAGCAAGCCCTCCCTACAGTGGTGGTCCCTGGGCCTGTTAGGACCTGGGCCTGCTGTGACTTGGCCAAGAAGGAGAGAGGCGAGGCACAGCCTTGGGGTCAGCCAGCCTTGCCACTGGGCCCTGTGTCCTCTCCTTTTACCTGCGTGACGCTGAGGGAGATTTGTAACCTCTCTCTGCCTCAGTTTCCTCATCATTGTGAAATATGGCAGGCTTAGAGGTTGTTGAGGGATCAGATGAGAAGAGTTTGCCAAGCTTCCAGAACAGTGGCTGCTTGACCACGGTGGCCCTTCCACAACTGCCCATTCCCTCTGCTTCTCTGCTGTCCCCTCACCTCCCTAGGATTCCTGGCCTTGAACCCAATTTACAAGAAAGGGTCTCGCTACCTAAGGCTGAATTTGCCTTTGCCATGCTGCCTAATCCACTTGATTAGGCAGTCAGTGCCTTTGCCATGACCTGGGGCCAGGAGGAAGACAGGGACTTTGCAGACAGAACTGGGGAAAGTCCTGGCTTCCCTAACCCCCAGGAACTCCCTAAACCTCTATGGGCCTCAGTTTCCACACTGTGAGATCAGGGCACTAGTGCAAGTTTGTGAGGCTCGCATGAGAAAATGCAAGAAAAGCTCCTAGCCTAGCCCCTGCCACACAGCAGGTGCCCAATAAATGTTACCGTTGTTGTTACTGTGTCATTCGTGGGCTGATGGAGTGGAGTCCTATGTCCTTTGCACCTTGCTTTCCCAGTTCGAGAGGCTGGGCCTCATCCTTTCTGTTGTGACCTGCTGTGGGCCCTTCATGGGTTCGTGGTGCCAGTGGCCTTTCCCTTCCCCTGCCTGGCACTGGGCTTTGTCCATCATCACCAACTCCTGGAATTCAACTATAATCCCCTTCCCTGATTTCACACGTCTGTCCTCCAGAAGTTGCCCTCCCCTAAAGAGCAAGTTGAATTTCAGGCCCTGGTCTCTCCAGACCTGTTTTACCTGCCACTCATTCATTCATTCATTCATTCATTCATTCATTCATTCATAAAAATGCAGGCTCTGCCCTGTTTTGCCTGCCACTCATTCATTCATTCATAAAAATGCAGACTCTGGATGTAGACCATCTGAATTCAAGCTCTGTCAGTTTCTCACTGGGAAATCTTGGGCAAGTTGCCTAACCTTGCTGAGATTGCCGTTAACAGGATCCACTTCCCAGGACTGGTGTGAAGCTGACACGAGATAAGGCACACAGAGTTATCAGGACAATGCCAGGTACACAGAACATGCTCAGTCCTGTTGGCCATCATCATTCGTTCACTCACATGACAAGCACACACTTAGGCCTTCTAGTGCCTTCGATCGTCACCCATTGTTCTGGGGGCTGGCTCAGGCAAAGGCCAGCCAACACTCCGGGGCCCCCACCCTCCAAAGCTCCCAGCAGGATGGCAGGCGCACTGTGACAGAGTGTTCTGACCACTGATGTATCCCTAGACACCCGTGCAGAGGGTTTCGGGAGAGGCTGAGGCCTGCTCTGTGCAGGGAGGTGGTGGCGCTGGCTAGGAATGCTGCAGGGGCGGCCAGGCTTGGGCTTGTCTTTCACTCAGAAGGTGACATAATTTGCATGTCCCCTGCAAATCTTATGCTGAGATGTAATTCCTGGTTTGGGAGGTGGGGCCTGGTGGGAGGTGTTTGGTTCATGGGGATGGATCCCTCATGGCTTGGTGCTGTCCTCACAATAGTGAGGGAGCTCTCGTGAGAGATCTGGCAGTTTAAGAATGTGTGGCACCCCCCACTCCCACTGCTGTTCCTGCTCCTGCCACGTGACACACCTGCTCTTGTTTCACCTTCCACCCTGACTGGAAGCTCCCTGATGCCTCCCCAGAAGCAAAGCAGATGCAGGCACCATGCTTCCTATACGGCCTGCAGGACTGTAAGCCAATGAAGCCTCTCTTCTTTATAAATTACCAAACCTCAGTTATTCCTTTATAGCAATGCACGAATGGCCTAATACAGACAGAAGGCTTCCACTGAGACTGGCAAATGGGCCAGTCCTTGCTTTATGCTGTCTTGAAGGAGGGGTAGGAGACTGCCTTGTGGACAAGGAGAGGAAGGGATTGCCAGAAGAGGAAGCGGCCTGTGCAAGGTTCCAGTTAGGAGACAGCACAGCCAGAGGGAGGCTATGGGCCTGTGGGTGGGGCTGAGGCTCACGGCCCTGTAGGTGAGCATGTGGTGGGGGGCTTGCGTGTGTGTGTGTGTGTGTTTGTATGGGAGTGTGCATGTGTGTGAAGGTATGTGTGGGTGAGTGTATATGTGAATGCATGTGTTTGTGTAGGGTGAGTATGTATGTGTGTGAGACTGTGTGTGGGGGCAAGTGTGCATGTGTGCGTGGGAAATGAGTGTGTTTGTCTATGTGTGAGTGTGACTGTGAGTGTGCAGCGGTCTGTGGGTGTGTGCAGGAGAGAGGCTGAGGAGGAGTGGCAGGCCAGGGGGCTGCAAAGGCAGGCACCTGCCAACAGGCGCAGGCACATGATATGGCAAAGCCACAGGCTGGCCCTGGGTGCCCTGCAGGGCATCCCAGCACACAGCCTCGGGGAAGGCTCAGACACCACGCAAGGAAGCATTAATCAGACAATCTGTGCCTGATGTGCAGGACTGCATCGAGATTCCTGGCCTTCGCCAATCTCGTCCTGAGTCTGGCAGATCAGAGCCCATGGAGAAGGCGGGCATATTTCTCTGGGCTGTCCAAAACCTGCGTTCAGAAGGAAGTCAGCCAGGGGAATAGGCTCAGAGCCGAGGCTTTGGAAGCCTCTGGGCACTACTCCCCAGGCTCGGCGAGGGTCCTGGTTTCTCCTCTGATCTGTGAAGAATTGGGGTGCAGCTGCCTGAGGTCACAGAGATGGCAGAAGAGACCCAAACTTTTACTCCCGGCTCAGCGGGGCCTGCTGGTCTCCTTCCGAGGGCTCTGCCTCATGGTTTATTTTCTGTCTTTGTAGGCTTATTGGCTTATGGCTCCACAGAACCCTAGTCCTGTGGTTGTCAACCGGGGACAACTTTATCCACAGGGGATGCTTAGCAATGTCTGGAGACATTTTTGGTGGTCACAACAGAGGGGATGCTACTGGCATCTCATGAGTACAGTCCTGGGGTGCAGCTCAACACCCTACAAGGCACAGGACAGTCCCCCATCTCAAAGAATGATCCCTCCCCAAAGGTCATCCACAGTGGGGGCTGCCCACTGTCATCTGTAAGCTCCCTGGCAGCTGGCCCTGGGGTTGTTTTCTTCCCAGGGGTTCAGCTCCTGTGCAGGACAGCGCTGGTGGGTGGAGGTGCTCGGCGGACACACAATGGTGACAGTGAGGACAGCGTTGGTGGGTGTAGGTGCTCGGCGGACACACAATGGTGACAGTGAGGACAGCGCTGGTGGGTGTAGGTGCTCGGCGGATACACAATGGTGACAGTGAGGACAGTGCTGGTGGGTGTAGGTGCTCGGCGGACACAGAATGGTGACATCAGGTCTGCGCTTTCACCCACAGCTGACTTTCTCATTGGCCAGCAGAACAGGGTGGGAAATGGGATGGAGACTGCCTGTCCCCAGCATGAAGCCATTGCCATTGCCCCCGCAGCTGCCCCTCCTGGCCCCAAGGCACACCTGCTGACCCACAGACATACACAAGACACACAGGCACACAGACACAAAAACACAGGCACACACACACGCAGATGCACAGGCACACACAGACCTATAGGCACACACACACACACACACAGGCACACGGACACATACAGACATACAGATACATAGACACACAAGCAGGTACACACACAGACATAATAGGTACACACAGACACGCACACATAGATACACACACACACAGATACACAGGCACACATAGACATACAGGCACACACACAGGCATGCACACAGACATACAGACATGCAGACACACAGATACATGGGTACACACAAGTGCACTGGCATGCACACACAGATACACACCGATGCACAGGCACACACAGATGCATGGGCGCACACACACACACACTTCCACACATACCCACACAGGCACACACAGCTCACACAGAGCTCCCCGTTGGCCAAGTGAAACCCTAAAACAATTATATTGGGAGAACAGCAGAGAGCTCTACCTAAACAGCCACTCTATGCTAAGCCTGCCCTGGACACTTTGTCCCCATGGCCTGTTTCCCACAGCAGTCCGAGGGGTGTCTGCAGAGCCAGGGAGCTTTCTGGACTCAGAGGCCGCACCATGTGCACCCCGGGGTCAAGGAAGCCTTCCAGCCGGGCAGAGTCCCCAAGGCCAGGTAGGTCTGGGTGGGGAGAAGGAGGTCCAGGCAGTGGGAACGGCACATGACCAGGCCTGGGAGACAGGGACACAGCACTGTGCGACCTGCCATTACATAGCCTGTCTGGACCCCTGCCTGGGAGGGAAGTGGGGAGAAAGGTGGGCTCAAGGGAGAGCAGGGCCAGCCGTGGACCAGGTGGACTGGCTAAGCAGGTGAGGATGCACCACTGCTTACAGGCAGAGGACAGGAACAGACTAGCGTCAGCCAGGCGTGGCTTCGGTTGGATTCAGTGGTGAACACTGGGCAGGCTGTGGGGAGGGTCTGTGTTCAGAAATGTGCGTGTGCTGCTACCACGGTTTGCGAAAAGGGTCTGGAAGCCTGGCACTCCTGGAGAAACTGATGTGGGGAAACATTACTTTTGCACCAAAAGGAGTGGCAGAATTCTTTAAAATAATATGACGTGAAACACCAGCCGGGAACGTCTGAGGCTCCCCAGGAACCAGCCTAGTGGGCCCAAGAAATCTCTTGCCTTCCAGGCTGGAGTCTTCACCTCCATTCACATCATACGGGGCTGGAACAGGCAACGACAAAGAGCACATGTTGTGATCTCTTTCCTGCTCACACCATGCCACCGGGCAGGGCAAGGACAGGTGAGCGGGGGTGGGGGGGTGTGCTCTCCTCCGTCACAGAGGGCAGAGGTGGCTGAACCAGAATGTCACCCAGGATTTCTGCCCCAATTGTCACTATTCCTCAGGTGCTCTCTGCAATTCTCTCCAGGAGAAATGCAACTGCCCAGCAGGAAGGGACCACAGGAGGCTTCCAGGCAGGTCCAAACTTTCAGGGTCTTTCTTGGAGGACCCAGGAGCCTGCAGCTCCTGCCAGAATCCTCCTTTAAAATGTAAATCCACCACTTTTACCTCCCTGCCTTAAACACTCCAGTTTCCAGGGGACAAAACCTAAAACCTTGACCGTGGCCTCTGGAAGCCTTTTTGGTGTGGCATATATTCCCTCCTGGCCCCATTTCCTATCATTTTCGCTCTGGTTTATTCCCTTAAATGCTATAAAACTATTCTTTGAAACCCAGGCTTTCTGCTGCCTTTGAGAGTGTGATCTTGGCGATCCCTTTGCCTGGAGGGCTCAGTGCCCATCCCTGCAGTCCTGGTTCCCTCACTTCACCTCTAGGTCTCTGCCGACTCTCCCTAAAAGAAGCCCCTGCCTGTGCCCCTCCCATCCCACCTCTCCCTCTTCCGAGCTTGTGCAACAAGTGCTGACTGCCCTGTCGGGGTAGGTCATCGCCTGTCTTCCTCTACTGGGCAGTCAGCTCCGTGGAGGCAGAAGAGTACATCAGCCTGCTACCCCCACACCTGGACCTGAGCACATGGGGGTGGGATTCAGTGACAGAGAGAAGGCTTGACACCCCCAAAAGACCTACCACAAGGAGGGAAGCTGCACGGCTGGGATCCTGGAAATCAGGGCCAAGTTCACCCCGAATTCCAGCAAGACATAAGCCCTTGGTGCTCAGGTGGCCGTGGCCAGCAGAGGGCTCACTGGCCAGCTGCCAAAGTCTTGCTTTGCACCAAGGCGTGGACCGGACCCTGCAGAGGGGTGGCATGACATCAGATGGGACTTCTACTCACATTGGGCACAAAGCCGGGCATCAGTGCCTTCTCGAACACCACGTCCCAGTTCATGTCGGCCAAGTAGGGCACGCTCTGAATGTCACGAAGGCTGGACAGGCGGCTCTCAGGGTCCTTGGTCAGGAGCTGCACTCAGAGGACAAATGAGCTTCCGTGAACTGGGCATCCCTCAAGGGTAGCAGGGACTCTGAAGGATGGGGTCTCATGGCAATTAATGGGCCTCTGCTCTTCATGCCCTATTGATGTCGTGCCCTGTGTGGGGCACTGTTGTTGGAAGCGCCATCTGCACTCATCTCTTTATAGCCAGGGAGAAACTGAGAGGTCAGGCTGCTTCTGCGAGGTCACCCAGTGAGGGGCTGTTGGGGCAGGGACCAGACTTTCAGCCCCCGTGTTCCTTTCTGGGACTGGAGCCTGTAACAGGCGGCCTCTCTGATGTCTGCAGAAGCATCCAATTACAAATAGAAAGAATTAGTTGCCTCATACTAGGATTTCCAACTTGGTAACGGGAGGCACCAAGTTGTAATAAAATTTGTCCCTGGACAGCTACGAGGTGACCTCTGTGACCTAATGAAGTGACCTCATTTGTAGCCAAGGGGACACTTTTTAGCTTCTCTTCTAATTGAGTTTCAGCTAATAAGGAGTGACGCAGGATAAGAACAGCCAAAGACTATGACCTGGCATCCCAGCGGGGCTCCCAACTTGCCAAAACCCTGCAGCTTATCTATTGAGAATGCACAGGGGCCAAGAATGAAAATTCAGAGGCCTGGCCCTGGGACTGCCATTTAACAGCTGTGACCTTAGGCGAGCTGCTGTTACTTGCCTCACTGCCTCCCCCGAAAGCAGGGGAAATAATGGAGACTCCTCTACTTCCAGTTCATGGTAGGACGAGACCAAATGGGACTGGTAAGGACCTGGCACATACTTAGAAAGGGGCGGGCACAGCAGCGTCCACAGGTGGAGCTGGAAGTCAGAGCCCCCTGTCAGTTCTCACACACCTGTCACTGCAGAAATCTTCCAGCTATGCCCATTGAGTGGCTGGAGTCACAGCCCACAGGGATAGCTAGCAGGGGTTGCATCTGCTGATCATGGCTGCCACTCTTTAGGGACTGTCCCAAAACAATGGGTGCCAACTTAAGCAGGTTCCACTTCAATGCCATCTGGAAGTTCACTGTTCAGGGTGGCTGTTCTGAAAACATGTTGATGCCCAGACCCGAGGGCCAGATTCTGAGCCACTTGGGTGGGCTAGGAGGTGCAGGCATTGGTGGTACGTAAGGCTTCCACATGGTTCTAATAAGCAATCAGGGTTAAGAGACACTGACTTATAAGAACCAAGTGATGGGATGTGAGGGCGACCTGGCTGTGACACCTGCCACGCCACTGATTTCCAGGGTTGATTTGGCTGATTTGGCTGGCTACGCAGGTGTGCCCTTGCTCTCTCATGGCTCCATGTGTGTCCCTCCGAAAGCTGTGCACTCGGTCAAAGAGGACGGCCATCCCCAACAGAGGAGGACCGGTCTTCGGTCAAGGGTATATGAGCAGCTGTGCTCCCCTGCTACAGCCTCCAAACAAGCTCTCAAGAACCAGGTGGCAGATTTCCTTTAAAGTAATTTAACTGATTAGTAATTCAACAAGCCATTATAGCCATGTAGGGATATTAAAAGCTGGGACCTGGAGTTAGGAGGGTTTGGATCAAAATCCTACTTCTGCCTTTTAATAGCTCTGTGGCACTGATTGAATGATTTTGCTTTCTTATGCCTTAGCTTTCTCATCTCTGGTACTGGGATAATGACACTCCCCCTGCTCACAGGGCTTGAAAGGGGTAAGGGAGAAGAGCAATCACATGGCCTAGAACACAGGACCCTCAACAGTGCTGGCTGCTGTTGTCATCATTGCTTTAAAAACAACTGGGTGCCAACCTCATGCAAGACTCAGCTCCATGCATCATGGAGGATGTGAAGGGAGCCTTGAAGGCAGGGCACCAAGATCTCCTGCCCATGCTGGACTGGAGTGCGCACCAGAACCACCTGGAGAGCTCATGGAGACACAGAGAGTGGGGCCCACCCTGGGCGTCTGATTCAGGTCTGGGTGGAGCCTGAGGATGTGCATTTCTAATAGGCTCCCACGTGACGTTGATGCCGGCTGGTCCTAGGCCCATACCTTGAGAACCACTGCTTTATTCTAATAGCAACAGTTCCTGCAGAAAGTCAAGGAGATTCCTTCCTTCCTTCCTTCCTTCCTTCCTCCCTCCCTCCTCTTTCCTCCTTCTCTCCTTCTCTCTTTCTTTCTTACTTTTTTTTTTTCAGTTTCACCCTTGTTACCCAGGCTGAAATGCAATGGTGTGATCTCAGCTCACCACAACCTCTGCCTCCCATGTTCAAGTGATTGTTCTACCTCAGCCTCCCGAGTAGCTGGGATTATAGGGATGCACCACCACGTCTGACTAATTTTGTATTTTTAGTAGAGACAGGGTTTCTCCATGTTGGTCAGGCTGGTCTCGAACTCCTGACCTCAGGTGATCCACCCATCTTGGCCTCCCAAAGTGCTGGGATTACAGGCTTCAGCCACCACGCCTGGCTGAGATACCCAATTTCTTAAAGGTCATTGAGTGAAAAGACCATGTACAGCAGATTTTAAAAACCCACATGCAGGCCAGGCATGGTGGCTCACGCCTGTAATCCCAGCCCTTTGGGAGGCTGAGGCGGGTGGATCACAAGGTCAGAAGATCGAGACCATCCTGCCTAACATTGTGAAACCCCGTCTCCACTAAAAACACAAAAAATTAGCCGGGTGTGGTGGTGGGGGCCTGTGGACCCAGCTACTTAGGAGGCTGAGGCAGGAGAATGGCGTGAGTATGGAAGGTGGAGCTTGCAGTGAGCTGAGATTGCACCACTGCACTCCAGCCTGGGCGACAGAGCAAGACTCCGTCAAAAAACAAACAAACAAACAAAAAACCCACATGCATTAAGTATTTCTGTTTATTGGGAGCTCGTAGCAGAGTGACAAGAGCTGTCACAGTTGCCACTGTCCTCCGAGGTGTGCTGATCTGCAAGCACCCCCATAACAGTGCTTATTCCAAGGCATTTGGCATTTGAGTGCAGCTGATTTGATCATTTCTACCCCTGGTATGCCATTTGTAGTCTCACCCCTTCGTTTGCTGATATGGCTGTTTCTACACTCACTGTAGCTCCCTGGTGGGGCAGGCTGGCAGCCGCCCCCTTACCTTCCTCAGCAGGGCCACCATCCCCTTGCACCACGTGGAGGAGTAGTGGACACGTTCCACCTTGAACATGTTGAGGATTTCATCGATGGGCGTGGCCGAGTGGATTTCGTACGGTCTCTGCAACCAAAGGACAACAGCCAGAATCAGAGAGAGGACCATCAGAAGGCACCATCCACACACTTTAAGACTGTGTGATTATGAGGGACGGTTTATTCTTCCTCTTCAAGTAAGAGTGGGTGCTTCTCTTTCACGGCAGAGCAGGTGGCCTGAACCCATGTGCCAACAGTAACCGGGCCCAGGGGCCAGTGCAGGACCCGGCAGGTGGGTGCTGCTCCTGTGGCCACAGGAGGTTAGGGGTGGCTCACCGAGGTCACACAGCCCATAAATGCCAGAGGCAGGACTCACTCTCAGCAGCTTAACACCAGAGTCCCTGTCTGCTCCAGTCACGGGCTTGGGACACCCAGGGACACCTCCAGTCATAGCCCCCACCTGCTACTGGGCCTTGGCTGCCACTTTCCCTGTCCTGGCTGAACTGGCCCATGGGGTGGGCAGGGCCGAGATGGCCAGTATCTGGGTGTGGTTGGGCTGAGGGATGGGAGGACTCCAGCCTCGTCCCCTGCCTTCTCGCCTGCCCTCCCCTCCTCACGATGAGGACGTGTAAGCTCTGCTCTCCCCCAATTTCCGAACTTGGTAGAAAATGAAGCCTCCTGACCATGTTTTCTCAACATTGCTGTGTGCAGTTTCTTGCTTCTAAGCCCCTCTCAAAGCTCGGGCAGACTTTCTTGACTGTGACCCTGGGGACAAGGTTTGGAGTGCTTCTGAGCAGCAGTGCACTCCCGGCCCCCGCTCCCCCTGCCCCGGCCCCCATGAATGTCTCTCCTGGAACCTCTCCAGCTGAACCGCGCTCCAAGATGTTTTCAGGTTGGTATCATGGCCACACGTCTTGGGATTACAAAGCAACAATTTCCCTGGCATGTGTGGTGGTGCAACAAACTGATCCTGGAGAAATCTGAGCGATGAATCCGCGATTAACCCATATGAAGTTGACTGCCATTAATATGTGCCAATACAATTATTGCTGTCTGTCTCCTCCACAAAGCTGTGGGCTGCTCAAAGGGGGAATTTGACCACGCTCATTTCTGTGTTCTCAGGGCCCCAGTAGTGTCTGCCATCGAGCAGAGTCCCAGAGCACGGCGACGGCGACCGTCTCAGTCCCTCCGCAGGTGCTGAGCGAACACTAACCCTGAGTCAGACACCACACTGGGATTCCACTGCCACCTTGGTCCCTGGGTTTGGGGTTTCCAGGTACACACTGTGAAAAAGCAATCACTTGTACTGGCTGCACTTTGAGTTCTTGCTTCAGAAAAGTTCCAAGAAGCAGCCCAGCCCCGCAAACTGGTAGGATCCGGAGATGCCTGAGTTGGAAACTAACTCCCCTTATCACCATACTGAAAACCCCACCCAGGGAGGAGCTGATTTCCTCTGCATGCGGCGTATGTAGAAGCATCATCTGCTTGCATCGACCTCACTGGCCACCCTCCCAGGTTGTGCTCATTGGACTGTCACCCACCACGTGATCAAGCGCACACATTGTGTGGGTAACACCGTGACACTTAAGGCTCTGGCTCCAGCCTCATGGAAGCGCAATTCCCACAGGGCTGCTGCAGATAGAGGGCGCCAGCCCAAAGGGGCACAGGGTCCTGATCCCTGGAGGGCTACGGTTCCCTGGAGGGAAGGGACACCATTATCTTTACCAAACAGGGGGCCCTGGAGAAGACGCTGGCCCTGAGGGGTGTGCCTGTGCCCGCTCAGATGTGCACACCCAGAAAGGAGCTTTTTTCCCTGAGTTTTTAGCCTTCTCTCTTATCTGTGAATTGAACGAGGGCCTGTCCATTTCACCGTATCATAGGCAGAACAAAACCAAAACCCGGGGGCTCTCTAGAAAGGCGAATTAACTGGATACACTAACATTTTAAAACTCTTTCTTCAATTTTTAAAAAATCTAATGGGAAGTGGTGACTTCCATGGATGAGCATTTTCTGCCCACCATTTGTGTGTGTGAGACCCCTTTGCACTTCGCCAGAAACAACTACCATAGTTAGAATGATGAGAGCCGATCTCAACTGAAAATGCCCCTTAGAATCTTTATGAACTGGTGACTGTTAACACGACCATTTCACAGAAGACAAAACCGAGGCACTATGTCCTGGAGCTGGGCACCGAGGTGAAAGGCCAGGCAGTGTGAATGGCCAAGGCTCGCCTCTGATCACTGCTGTTACAAGGGAAATTGTGTCCCCCAAATTCATATGCTGAAGTCCTAGCCCCCAGGACCTCAGAATGTGACCTCATTTGGACATAGGCTCTTTATAGAAGTAATTCAATCGAGTCACTAGAGTCGGTCCTAATTCAACAAGACCTGAGTCCTTATAAAAGGGGGACTTTAAGGCACAGAAAGACGCACAGAGGAAAGACAATGTGAAGAAGACAGCCATCCACGAGCCAAGGAGAGAGGCCTGGAACAGGTCCTTCCCTCAGCCTCAGGAGGAACACACCCTGCCAACCACTTCATCTCAGACTCCTGGCCTTCAAAACTGTGAGAGAATACTTTTTGTTTAAGCCACCTAGTGTGTGGATCTTAGTTACGGCCATCACAGGTAATGAACAGCAGCCCTCACCGTCCACACACAGAGCTCTCACTGGAGGTGGCTGACTTTGACTCTGCTCCTGTGATGAGCTGGTGCCCTCTGTACATGGCGCCTGGCGTGAGTAGGACAGACATGGTCCCTCCCGCACTGAGCTCACTGTCTTGGAGGGAGATGGGCAATAAAGAGTGGTCGGGGGTGGAATCAGTGCTGGGGAGGGAATCTATGGGGCTGCTGGGCACGTTTAGGGAAGGGGAGTTCTCTATAATCTCCACAGGGACAGGGGCAGGAGATCCAGAGCTCAGGGCCACCACTGGGAGATGAGCTGGGGCTGAGTTCAGTTTTGGACTTTTTTTTGTTTTTTTGAGACGGAGTTTCACTCTTGTTGCTTAGGCTGGAGTGCAATGGTGCGATCTCGGCTCACTGCAACCTCCACCTCGGGTTCAAGAGATCCTCCTGCCTCAGCCTGCTAAGTAGCTGGGATTACAGGCGTGCGCCACCATGCCCCGCTAATTTTTTTAATTTTTAGGAGAGACCAGGTTTCACCATGTTGGCCAGGCTGGTCTCGAACTCCTCACCCCAGGTGATCTGCCCGCCTCAGCCTCTCAGAGTGCTGGGATTACAGACATGAGCCACTGCACCCGGCCATTTTGGACTGTTTAGAATTGCTCCTTCCTGTCTTTTTTACCTTTCAATAAACAGTTCTGCCCAACACAGTCCCACCCCTACCCTGAAAACCGAGCTGTTGGAGGTGCAAAGACTCTGGACAACGACGCAGCACTTCATCCCTCATTTCAAACGTCAGGAAACTGAGGCTGGCAGATGAAAAGAGACTTCCCCAATGTCCCCGATTCTCATCCCCTGGTCTTCCTGCAGTGCCACCAGAGACCGAGGATCCAAGCACCCAACCTGAACACCAGCCAGAAACAAATGTAAATGTTTCCCATCATTTACATTTCATTCCCTATTTCCTTCTTGGTCACTTCAAGGTGCTCATCAATTCGCTGTTCCACTGGACCTCCACGTGAGCTATTCTCTCTCTCTCTCTCTGTCTGTCTCTTTCTCCCTAATCTCTGTAATTCTCTCTCCTTCTAGAGGCAACCGGACCAATTACAAAAACAATGATGATAATAATAACTCTGATGCGCCAGGAAGCCAGTGCAGGACATACATTTAGAAATGAGTTTGGAACATCATGACTAAAACAAGTTCCACAGCTTTAGGCACCAGGTTCAGCCCTCATCTGTTTGGATGGTTGTAGAGAAACATAGGTTTTTTATAAGAAGATTCGCAAATATTAAGATCAATATCCTGTCTGCTGGTACTGATGCTGAGTTCTCACTCGCTGGCCTTAGGATGTGTTGAGTCAGAACACCAGCTGGTAGTTACAAGGTAAAGTAATTCCATGTACTGCTGGTAAAAGCAATTTTAGCAGTGGGACATTGGATATACTTATTATCGAGTGCGGGTGTGTCTCTATTCCAGGAAACTCGGTTTCAAAAAAACAAAATGCCAATTTACCAAAAAAATAGAAGACGGAGGAAAAGAATTGCCGGATGTCTGTCATTTTAACTGTTAAAGTTGAGCTGGGCCTTGGAGACCATCTAACCCAATGTTTTTTTCCCCAAAATCTTTTTATGCAAAATCCCAAACACAGAACAGATGACAGTGAAGAACAGTTCCTTAGGTAATTTAAACCTCCAAAGCCCGGAGAAACACTTTCCCTGCCTCTGGAACTGTCGGATCATCTCTGCAGGGTCCTAGAGTCTGGGAAACAGCTTGAAAACACTGAAAAATTCACAAATGGTCCTTCCTCCTCCTTTGAATGGAGATCACAGACTCCATTACCTCTCGGGCTTGTGACTCCTGGCACAGTTCTACTGGCCCCCTTGGTGAGGTTACACGGTCCTGTTTCTCCAGGTTCAGCCCACCCACCCCTTTCATAACCATCGGTACTCAGTGCTGCACTCTCACCTCTAGGGGGAGCTCTGGGTACCCTCCCTCGACTTGCTGGCCTCTCTGTACCTTCAACCTTCTCTGTCCACCCATTCCTAAGGAGAAGTGCTGACTGGGGTCAAAGGCAAGGGTAACACCAGGTCAGGGAGTGAGTAAAGAGGGCAAAGTCCTCATGTCCCCATGGAGTGGGCACCAAGAAGCACAGAATGTGGATGGGAACCCATCTCTGCTCATGAAGCCCACAGGCCTTACATGCTAATGGTCAGCAAGCAGGTGTGATCCAGCCTCTGCTCTCGGTGCCTGTCTCTAGTGCTTGAAGGATGTTAAAGTGGGAAGGATGCAGGTTTTCCAGCAGGTTCTCCCAGGGTAGAAGTCCTAGGGAGATGTGAAAGGGGCGAGGGGTCCTTGAAAGTCCACTCCATGGGGGTGCAATGCAATGTGCTAATGGCCTTACACGCAGGATCCCACTTAGTCCTCCTGGTTGTTCTATGGCTGTGGTTCTCAATCAGGGACAACTGT